TCTTAATTAAATTCCGTCTTACATACACATTTACATGAATACACATTATTTAATCAGACAATTTTTCGATGACTGCCCTCAACTAAATCCTATTTATAGCAGATTAAATACATGTCACTTACTCTTGCTCAAGATTTTTCCATCTCTTGCTAGAATGCGGATTATGTGTACAAAGTTTGTAATGCTAAAAGATAAGAAACGAAGTTATGCAAAAATATGATAAGAATAATACAATTATAAAACATTTGTGGACAATTAAAACTAGATATATTGAAATTTTCAATTATGAACAAAATGGAAGAAGAGGTATGACGTGGGAGACAGCAAAACAAAAGCTACCTAAACGTAAATACACACACACACACACACACACACACACACACACACACACACACACACACACACACACACACACACACACACACACACACACACACACACACACACACACATCAATCTATACAAACGAGAGCGCACGCGGCTCCAGGACTCACCATGCAGTAGGCTTGCGCAGTCAGGACTGAGGTTCGAAGTCGACACAGCCCGACGTCTTGTTTACCTCTTCACCGCTATTACGGATCTTTGTTTACCGAAAAGAACAGGTCTTGACGAGAGATCACACAATGCATACACCGCCAACGTCACCTCCGCGACACCGAGCCTTAGCACTCACTGAACCCGCTTCTGACCCTGAGAACCAGCACACACCGTTCATGTATAGCGAACCACCCGACTCACTAGCACTGAGCGGGAGACGGCCACGCGAGCACCTTCACTTCCCGAGATCCGCCGCAACACTGACACCTGCTCCCACGCCCCCACACCTCTCGGTCGCCTGGGAAAAAGAAAAAAAATCACTTGTTTGACGAACGGCGGCTGTGCTTTATGGCTTGATTTCTATTTTCCGTGCGGTTTTGAACTCTCTCTTTCGACTGAATAGAATTTGAGCAGTGACTCGGCAATTCGGCTTGAGATGCACTTGACACCAAGGGAAATAGCAACCATACATCAGACATAGATGTATACATTGTAGTTGCTCGTCAGCCAAAAGAGTAATGACCCGTGAATCGAGGGAACACCCGGCCATCATTCCTCGCTCTTAATAGGAAAAAAAACACGTACGAGTATATGGCTTCGTGTAGGTGATTGTGGAAAGCCTCCCACAAGAGATACTGGAGAGGAGCATATTGTCTTTTGATTTTCATGGCGTGAAGCTTATAGTTCCGTATGGGTAGGTTTATTATCATTTTTCTTTTATTCCTTCACTGTTTCTTTGTAGGGGAGAGGGGGTATGGGTTATTAGTAAATATATGTTTTTTATTGACTTGTATTTATTTCATTCTTACTTTTATTTATTTGGTTTATTAACGCATATGTCTGTGAAATTATGGATAACACGTGAGCTTATTTAACAAATCATTTTCTTCTTTTTCTTGTCTTTCACGGTCCGGTTAAGGAAGTTTTCTCTTTCTGGATCTCAAGTGTCCAAGTAGGTGTTCTTGGCTGTTGCCCCTCGATGTCGTTTTAGTTGGTTTTATTGCGATGGGATTTTCTTTTCTATATTAAGAACATTATGGGAAAGAATCCATAAAATGACTTTATTGTACATCATTAATCTACTTTTCCTAGTTTCTAAATGCCTTATCTCCGAGTCAAGAGTTTTTTTTGTTAAAGAGACAGCAACACTTTCTTTAAACATTCCAGCAACTTTCAAAACAATGTGATAATCTTCTTCAAAAGCGAGTAGTTTCCCGGGTTTGAAATTACTCTTGTTATGTTCTTCGCATTTTTACTTCAAGACATGTAATCATACGTGTTCATTTCGAAATCAGTTTGTATTGTATCCAGTACCATTAATCTAAGAAATAAGACTAAGGTTTTATATTAACATCTTTATTTACTTTCAAACTGATCCCCAAGATACTACTCTCTCCCAACTAAAATTTTGGATTAGTCAATCAGTGTATTACTAAATAAGAGACAACATTAACAAGGATTACATCTGATTTTCATAAGTTGGCCACACCCCTCAAAACTTAAATAAGACCATAAATTGCCTT